AAGCAGGACAGAACAGGTTCCCTATATTCTTTCTGGACAATGGAATTGGGAATATGACAGAAGCTTTTCAGTCTGCTGACACCCAAGTTACAGTAATGATTTTTACAGCCCATAATTTATTTAATAAGATAATTTGCAAAAACATGGGGGGGGGAGAAGAAAACGAATACGTTCAAGATATGTCAGCAAATATCAGACTGTAATGCAATTCTTGAATTTTAAAAGGAAGGACTTGAAAGGAGGAGAATAAAAAAAAATGCTAAAATTTTGCTTATTTACATAATTGTGCTACAGTTGCAACTTCTAGGTTTTTTTTCTCAGGTTATCTGACATTTAGCCATCTTTATTTGCCTCAGTCTGTTATGAATGCATCTGTAGACTTCGCAGTATAGTAACCTCACCAGACAGCCTTTATACTAAAGAAGTTCCATAAGCTGATGGTTTTTCTTCTTCTTCAGGTGATTCCTGAGGCAATTCTACCTGACAGCCAACACTAAGAGGCACTCTTCTTTCACATAAGATCTGTGCCAGAGTGAATTGTCTGTTACAGATTGGTTGCTCATAAAGCAAAAATCCAAAACCGTGCCAGGGTTTAGAATGAGAGAGCGCTGTTGCAAGTTTGAAATCATCTGTTGTACAGTACTGTTGTACAGTACTGTGGCTCATTTCCTGCAGGTGACTCTTAAAAGGGACTTCACCCAAGCATAGCATATAATCAGATAACTGATTGATTAATTGGAATTTGAAGGCATTCCTTTTAAATCCCCTGTTGAGAACATAGCTTCGGACCTCAGAACTATGTTTTACCTGTGTTGTGTGGGGCAATAGCCAGTGGGGGGGATCCCAGAGATTTAATGAACAACCGATGCCAGGACTACAGTAACATACAAAACTTGAGTAGTAGGCGCAACATACTTACATAGGGGAGCTCTCATTCTGATCAGCCACCACAGACAGTGGCAGGAGAGGCACTTCATCAAGGCGTGTCTGTCACTATGGTTCTTTAACATCCAGGTTTATAGTCCTGGATTCCCCTTCCCATCTGGTGCCAGGAAACAGTGCGATTGATCATCAGATTGACATTTGTGTACTCATATCAGGAAAAGCTGGGTGGGGATGGGAGGTACTTCCTGTTCCCCAAGCTGCATGCAGTAAATCTATTGATGGGAAAGGGAAGGTAGTTATGTGATCAAGGAGAGTGAAGGGTTAATTACATTGATAGCGAGAATGGAAAGGCTATTTGCGCTCCTTATCTCCTGAGCCTGGCAGCCAGGAGGCAGCAGGACTTCCTTGGAAGAAGCAGCAGGAAGAGACTAGCTTGACTTTTAAAGAAAATCTAGCTCTGATCACCCTTGCAGAATAATTTTCACAACAATCTGATACTTTCATTTACCATGCATTTTTGATCCAGGACATTTTACAGTAATAGATTACGAAACTTAAATTTTTACATTTCTGTTGCTATCACAAAGCTTATGAGAGGGAGAGAGCCCTGTATATAGTAAGGATTTGTGTGTGCATACTTACACCATATCCTAATGGGCTCTACTTTTCCAAGCTGGGAATAAACAGCCGTTCATGATAGGAATAAAATAATAGTCATAAAAAAAAACTTTCCCCACTCACAGTAGAAGCAGTTTCTTATTTCATTCAGATGCTGATGGGGTTTGGTAGAGGCTGAGCAGGAAACAAATCTTGGGTTTGGAGCAGAGAGTTTTTTCAAAACAGTCATATACATAGATTCAGTATGTGGCTGTTTTGAAAAAAGCATACTCTGTGTGGGGGATTATTAGAATTTAATCATACTCTGTATGGTTCTGAACCTTGCATCTCCAAAAGCATATCACAGAGCCAGAAAAGTTGCAGAAGAGGACAACCAAAGTGCTAAAGCATCTTTTAGCAACATCCCTTTGAGAAAATTTGATGTTTGTGACAATAGCTGAGAAAAAAAAGCAGGTGAAAAAAGTGTTGTATAAAAACATTCACGGCATGGAGATGTTTTCCTCACAGGACTGTATCAGAGAAGTGTGTGGAGGGGCAATGTGAACTGACAAAGCACACTTCATAAAGTTCTTTATGGAACCTGTGTCCGCAAAGCATAATAGCTGAGCACTGAAATGGCTCTAAAGGACTTTGTTCTTACCTGCTGTGGATCTGCCCTATCAGTAACTCATGGGAGCTAAATGGTTACCATCAGCACCAGGAACAGTATACCTCCGAGTACCAGTTATAGGGGAATATAACTTACTAATTCACAGAATTTCTAAGTTGTCCAAATTCACCAGACTTGGTGGCTCACAGAATACACAAAAATCCATGTGTGATCCAAAACATATCAAACAATGAAATCAATAAAATAAGAGTTAGGGGAAAAAAGGGGGGTTAATTAAAACCTAATGAAAGCCGCTTAAAATAGCATCAGCTGTACAAAATAAAATGTATGCCCTAAATATGTGGCAGAAGAGCCCCATTTAAGCCACCTTCCTAAAAAATGAATGATGCTGGAGCCATCCAGATTTTGGAGGCAAAAGGCTGGTTGGGGCCATCAACACAAAGACTTGCCTCCAAATCTGCAATCCACTTGCATCTTGAAAGAGGGGAGGTGAATGCACAGATCAGGTAGATCCTCTTTGGAGAAAATGGTCTTGCAGATAACCTGAACCTAATCCACAAGCTGTATAGGTTCAGACTATCACTTTACAAGGAAATACGCTGGCAACCAGTGCAGTGTCTGTAGTATAGGTGTTACTGTGCCAGCAAGAGAGCAGCTGCATTCTGTAGCAACTTAAGTTTCTGAGTAGTAGTCAAAGCCAGCAGTGTGCACTGTTGCACTCAGGTCTTGCCCTGGGGTTTGCAGAGGCATCTAGTTGGCTTCCACTAGTACAAAATGCTGGACAAGATGGGCTTTTAACTGCTTCTGCAGAGCTCTTGCAGACATGGACCATTTGGGTAAAGTTAATCTTTCACCAGCTTTTAGTGATTCAAGCCTGCCTAAATGAATGAATGAATGAATGAATAAGCAAGCAAGCAAGCTTTTTCTCAGCTATATCCTAGATTACAGAAGGTTATCCCTAGGATCTTGCAACTTCATAGAAAAAAATTAGTCATTTTTATTACTATTATTTGATTATAGCTGCACAAATGAGTGTTGAGGATATCCAATTAAATAGATTGCCTAACTGTGGCTCACTTGAATGATACACTTGTTATAAATGTGTGCATGTGAAAGTCTATTGACTGACAATGTTCTCCCTCTAAATGGCATTGAGATACTAATTGGATAGAAGCCCATTGTCATAGGTAATAAATATATCACGAATGACAGAGATTCCTTTTTTCCTGCCCATGAAAAGTTAACATGGGAAAAGGAGGAGAAAGATGGGAGGGCAGAGTTCAATACTGACTATATCATGCAGTGAAGTGACATCGTTGCTGAAGGTTGGAGGAGTAAAAATACCCTTTGGAGAAATGCCTAAAGGGGTTCCTGCATTAGTCTGTTGCAGCAAAAGCAACCAAGATTATTGTTGCATTTTAAAGATTAATAGTCTTGCATATTACTTTATACATCAAAATCTAGTTCATCAGGAACATTGTACTGTCCTGAGTCAGGAATGAGTGCTCATGCAGACATTGTTGAAGGCAAAGGGGTGGGATGGAAGAATAGTAAAATGAGAGGTCACTAGCAGTGAGAATTAGTGTCTAGTGAAAAAACAGTTGTTGGGTGTGATGTAATCTCGCAGTGATGAGATGATGAATGCATGGTTCATACATCCTACCAAGTGATAAGATTTGTTATTTGAGATGACTCCTGATATAACAACCTAGCTATTGTGGCTTATTCATTTTTTTTAAAATCAAGATTTAAAGTGAAGATTGACCCCAGGGGTAGTATAGGATCACTTTTTAATCTGTGAGAAATAGGCAGGCTTAACACTAAGGCAGGATTTTTAGACAAGATTGGTTGCCACAAAATGCTAAGCCATCATAGAAGGTTAACATGCAATGGCTTGGTAGTTTTATGCGAACCAGGCCATTGCTAACTCATCTAATAAATTTTATTTCAATTGTTTTGTGCTGAATCAGTGGTATCTGCATTGATGGAGGATGACCAGCTTGAGGAAACTGAAGTAAAATTTCCTGAGGGCAAGTATGTGCTTTGAATGCCACCACTTAACTGTGCTTTCTTCTGTAGAAAAATCTGATTCTAGTACCCCAAACAATCGTTATTTCAGCAGTATAATTTGGGACAGCTATTTACATACCTGGAGTAAGAATTCTTTGCCCATCCATTGCAAATCGCCTAGGGATCTACCAGTAGTTTATGCTTCCCATAATCTGTTAGATTTTTACCTGTCTTTCATGAAAATTTATTTAATTTATTTAGAAATTTTTATGGCCACCTATCTTATGCAAGATAATACCAGGCAGCACACAGTAATATTAAATAAAAACAGAATAAGTAAAACAAACTAACTCCACAACAGCACCAAAATGACTTCTATATATTTAAAACTTCTCAGTATACATTTCCCCCCAAAACTTTATTGTATATTGATTCTTAAAAAAAAAGAAAAGAAAGAAAAATAAATACATTTAGTTTCCCATAGGCACTAAGTGGGAGCAAGTAAGCACCACTCCTCTCCTCCCACCCCAAAAAGTGGACTTTCAGAAAAGATTAGATTGAGACCTGTACATCTTTTAATTTCATTTATAGGCAGAAGTTATTGACCATCTTAAGTTCAGCACAGCTGTTGAGAGAACAGTATCTTAGCCGAACTTCTATCAATGTTATGTCCTGGCAAAAGATGGTCAAAGTATTTACATATATTCTGTTTTTTTGCAAACTCTTTTGCTGAGATATCTGTTGGTTAAATGCTGGAATGATACTTCAAGGTTAATAATTCCCAGATGCCTGAAGCCATAGAGCAAATTATGCAAACTGCCTTAAAAATGCTTGAGCAAATAAGATACTTTAACCTAGGCTAAAAAGGCATTCCAGAGACAAGATGCACCACAGAGCTTCTACAAAGCTTCCCATAGCAAAACAACACGGACCTGGGTTTCCTCTGAGGATTATAAGAGTCACTTGAGATTTGAAAATATTGTCTATTTAACTGCATTTTGCACAGGAAGAGCAATACGTAAAGAAGAAAACCATCTCTTTTTATATGAGCCAGTGTACTTTAACCAGATGAATGGATTTATTTCTTCCCTTCCTTCCTCTTATCTTTAAATGCGTGTCCTCCTAGGCTGTTTTGACATACGTTATATGGATTGTGCACTTGAAAGGCACATGTTGTTACACCCACATTCTTAATAGTGGCCCCACCTGCTAAAGGTATGTGTATTTTTTTGGCTAAAAATATTTCTTTTCTCCTGCTTCCAGTTTCAGTGCTAAGAAATTGCTTCTCTATGTGAACGAGTCACAGGATAGCCAACAAGCCTAAAGAGCCTTAAAAGACTTCTAGACAGACTAATAAATGGTACAATGAGGTTCATATTAATATCTGCATATAGGAGGTTTTTGTTGTGAGAATTCCTACAAACAAACATTGAAGGAAAAAAAGGATTCTATAGGGGAAATACTTTAGGAGTTGACACTGAAATAGCTCTATGTCAGTGTACAATAGATAGCCAGTTTATTAATTGATACAAGGATATCACATCCTGAGAAGGAATTTATTTCTCTTCAGGGAATATGGCTTTTGGTGAAAAAGAAAAGAAAACACCATCAACTGCTTTCTAAATGACTTGGAAGAGTTTAGAGACTGTATTAAAATTTAACGTCAAACTTCTTTCAGTTGAAGCACTTTCAAACAATGCTTTGAAAGCATTGAAGGCATTTTAACATGTGTTTAGAACTGATAAAAGAAAAGTTGCAGGGTGCTTTATGTACTTACTCCATGGAGAAAGAGAAAATAGAAACAAGCTGGACTGTCGCTGAATGTGACTGAAGTAGCACTAAACGGCCCAGTTTATGATTGACATCCTAGCCACAATTACTTGAAAGAAACCCCTTCCAAACAAGCAGGCATGTAATTTGGTGATAAAATCTTATTGCTTGCAATAGGATTGACATGTGCAGCATTTCCCCAGGATTCTTCATTGTGGTTTTTAATTTTCTTGTAGTATCACTGCAGCTACTCTCTTGATGACCTGGTGGGTGTACTTTGTAACTTGAATGATCAGTTTAACGAAATATATCAGGATGGGAGAGCTTCTTATGAGTTAGAGAGATATTCTAATCTAAACTATTTTCTTCAATATCTAAACATCCTCTGGGTTGCTCGCTCTCCAGAAGCAAAACCGGGCATTTATGGTTCTTTCAGAAGACAGTACGTTGCATTTCCCTTTTCATCAAAATATAGAATAATAGAGTTGGAAACGGTGTTGTGCCCAACAAGTCCAAATTGAGGCATCTAGACAGATTTAGGCCTAGCTCTGCACGAGCATGCCCAGTGAAGGGAGCCCACCATCTTTCTACATAGCTGGCTCCTCAGTCAAGCTCTGCTCACTCTTAAGGGATTTTTCTCCCAATGACATTTCTAATCCACCCTTTTGTGAAAGTCAGTTTGCTTTTGTCCTCCTTCCTCTCCATCCCTTTTCTTTGTAAGTCTTGACCAGTGGCATCTGTGGGATGGTTTATTTATTTATTGTACTTTTATCCCACCTTTATTATTTGATAAGTAACTCAAGGTGGCAAGCATACATAATATTCCTTCCTCTATGTATGTGACGAAAAAGTCAAGATGGTGGTACACCTATGTGATTGAAGCCCTGTCTCTTTTTTAAAAGCCTCTCCAGGGCCCCTCCTCTTGAGTTTTAGTTTGTAATTCTCAGGGTTATGTCTTTCTTCCTTCTGATATTTGTAAGCTGGTGTGCAACCTTTTCATGGGAAGAGTGGGGCAAAAGTGTGTTAAATAAATGCTGTCCAAGTACTCCTGCATAATTATAATGTAACACAGAAGATACCTCGCCTGGGGGGTAGAGTTGATCTCCCACCAGTCACCAGATTTGCTTTCAAACCCAGCTTTCTTGACAGTAAGGAACCATCCGTAACTTGACAGAATCTGGAGTAGTTTATTAAATGAACTTATTTGGTTTGACCTTTTCTTCTTCAGTGTAGGATTTAATTTGTGCCCGGACTGATTCAGATTTGGATAATACATCTGTTTTCAGTACCATGGCTCAATCATGTAATAAATGAGGGGTGTGATTGTTTATCTGGACTGAAGGCCATGTTTGGCAGTTGAGTGGTGTGCCAGGACTGCACTTGAAAAAATAAGGAGGAGGGGCAGGACAAAAGTTAAAACTGATTTGATGAGATTTATTTTTAAATTGAATTAAAATTCAATATACTGACTATGATTACTATCCTGCCATCAAACAATTATAATTTGGAGTTTTGGAGGTCTCTGCAGGCTACACCCAAAGCTTCTGTGGCTCCAGGTGGCCCTGGCATCTCAGATGTCCTTCTGTCATTGCAAAGGCCGTTTCCCTTGCCACTGGTGAACAATAGAAAGAAAGGTTAGGAGAGCTTTTAGAGAAGAGCAGAAGTGTTGAGCACCAGTATTTCTGGTAGGTTGTGAAAAGCTACTGCTTTGATTTTTTTAAAGGAGTAAGGGTTATTCAGAATATTGCTTCTTCTGTTTATGTCACTATCATGGAGACATTCCCAGCGTGTCTTCTATTCAGCTGAACAACTGTTCTTACAATCAACTCCTTTTCTTTCTCAGCATTATTCTTCTGTATGTCTCTATAATTATTCCTAGCTTTTCAAACATATTCAGTAATTATTTTTGCTAAATGCCATGTGTACGCTGCCTGCTGATATGATTTTTTTTTTTAAAAAGGGATAAGTTTAATTTTCAGGTCTTTTCTGCCTTTGTTCCTAGCTCCAAATTGTCAACTTGATTATACTAGCATGCAGTCCACTTGATTAAACCAGATGGTTTTGCTCCACTGATTTCAACAAGGCTTGATAAGCTTTAAAAATAACCAGACCAGTTGGCTGATCAGTGACTTGCTGTGTGAATAGAAGGCTTTTCCCACAAATATTCTGCCTGGAGGGCAAAGGTGGGCATATTTAATTCTGTCTCACAAGTTCTGAAAATTCTCATGATCCTACTTTCTAGGACTATCTGAGTGGATAGACCCTTGTCTTGGGAAAGGGGAATTAGTGGGATAGGGAGGGAAGTACAAACAAAGGGCTGACTGTGAAGCTCTTGTTTTTCAAAAGATCAATTTCAGAAGATGCGAGATGTGGCCCTCTTAAGATTCCATTTCATTGCAAACTGCCTGTTAGCCATTTGACCTGGCAGCAGAGCTGTTGTAGGGAGAGACTGTATCACTTTGCCAAGATTTTTAGGCTATTCTTTATCTACACAACTATGTGAGCTCTGATAAAGATTCCTTGGTTTCTCTGAAGCTGTTCTTGCATTCCACTTGATGCTGTTCTGAGAGTTGGCAGAATATTCCTGAAGGCCTGCCAGGAGGTGGCACCTTGATATGGCTACAGGGATTGATTAAGCAGAGGTGATCAGCCTGTGCCATATTTATTAGACTGTGAGCTATTGAGTAACTGTCATAGGATCTGCTGTTGTATTAGTGTCATTATTATTTATCCAGACAGTAGGGTGTTGCTTTAAAGTTCCTGTTTATCACTGACATTTTAATGTTTATATTATTATATGGACATTTATTGTTTACTGATTATACTATTGTTGTAAGCCCACCATGAATCAGAATGAAATTGATGGAATAAACCGTAGATAGGAGGATGGATGGATGGAGGCTGCAAACAGTGCCTCCAAGAGATGCCACCCTAACTTTTAAAATTACAAAATAAGTTCCAAAATATATTTGTTAAACCTATGATCTTTTAAACACAGGATTTTGAGGTTAAAACAAGTCCCCACCCCATTCCTCAAAACTGAAAAATGTAGCCCTAGCTGTTCTGACAATGCCTGGCTCTGGTTTAAAGAATATGCTTGTCTCCTAAAGTTATGCAGTTAAATGTAGGGCTGGCATCTGCCCAGTCAAACAAAGTGTGGCCAATTGGACAAGAGTAAGGAAGGATGTAAAAGTATAAGTTTAGGGTGAAGGAGGGAAACGAGGGAACAAAGCACTGAAACTGGAAAATGAAGAGTACTTAGAAAGTTAACAAGAAAACTGGCTGTTGTTTTCCATCCTAAGTTGTCTTAAGCCCTTTTGAGTAGATGGTCTGTACCACTTCCTTCCAAGCTAGTGACAGCCATATAGGAGATGATAGATATAGCTAGATGATTGATTAGATTGCTGTGGGTGCTTTTTTCTACAGGCTCCATTTCATAAAAGCAGGAAGTATCTCTTAATAAGGCAAACCTGCATGGCAGCCAAAGCTGTTTCTCTACCCTGCTGCTTCTGGCTATTCCTAAAGCCAACTTTAACGATTCTCTGAAATGGTTAAACTCCAGCCACCATAGGTCCTGACCGGTCATGGTGATTTTACGCCCGCCCATCCATTCTTAGCTTTTGGGCCATACAAAAACAGGCGGCAGGCCAGATTTGGCCCATGGGCTATAGTTTGCCCACCCCTGGTCTAAATCATTATTTGTTTCTATACAATTTATTACAGAATCCATAATTGGCTGAATTCACATAAAATAAAATAATAAACTATGGTTTATAAACAACAAAGGGCCAGGTTCCTTCAAATTGCTAAGCCACAAACAAGAGGATCATCCTAGTTTTGCATATTATATGAACCCAGTCAAAAACTGCTTAGTTTTTTGTTAAGATAAAAGGCAGTAAGATTGAGATGGAAAGCAAGCTGTGCTGGGTAAGGTTGATTCTGGTCTTTGGAAACATGTTCTGCAACTGGAAGGTTCAAAAAAGTCCCTATGCAGCATCTTCTCCAAGGAGCAGTAGCAAGCTCCTTGCTTGATCAAATGGTTAATTCTGCAGCTTGGATAAATTTTCGGTAACAGCTTATTGACATTGTAGTGGCACAGATCCACACTGAGGTAGTGAGTCATTAGATACATTTTGGTGTATGTGATACTGCTGCCATGTGAACAGTTTCTATATAAGAAGGCTGCTTTAACTCATGTCCATGTGTTCATTATGCAATCTAGCTCAAGTTGAAGGAAGTACCTTGCCATCTTTCTATAGACCACCGTCTACTCTGGAAAAGTGGGATATACATATTTTAACTAATCATCTAAGCACCCACTTTCAATATATATTTTATTTTTTCCTGAATATTTTTTCTACAATTTGTAACACCTAATGCAACCCACTGTATTTCTGAATAGACTAGGAATGGCACCTCATCATAAAGCTGAACAAAATGGCTGC